TCCCCCCCCCCCCCCCCCCCCCCCCCCCCCGGGCATGCCTGTAGTCTAAGTTGAGACAATGAGGGAGAACCACTGAACATTTCACAAAGAGGATTGGGGCTTGCCTTGGGTGATTGTGGGTAAGGATTCAGGGAAGTGGTGCTTTGCTCTGCATTGAATGTTGTCAGGAAAGAGGGTTAATTCTTGGGTGGGGCTTCAGTATTGAAGGTGGGGAAGAATGGAATGGGGCTAGAACTTTAACTGGTAAAGAAGCGGCAGGGAGGGGGCGCCTGGGCTCAGTGGGTGAAAGCCTCTGCCTTCAGCTCAGGTCATGATCTCAGGGTCCTGGGATTGAGCGCCACATCGGGCTCCCTGCTCCGCGGGGAGCCTGCTTCCTCCTCTCTCTCTGCCTGCCTCTCTGCCTCCTTGTGATCTCTGTCAAATAAATTAAAAAAAAAAAAAGCAGCAGGGAGTCACATTAGTTGGGATATGGCAAGGTTTGGTCACTTTTTCTGTTTCAGGCAATGTTCTTGTTTTTGTCTGTGTTCAGACTTAATTACAGAATAGTCTTGTTTATGTCTTGGCCCATCAGCAACTGAGTGGCCTTGTCAGATCGTGACATGCTGTATGAACCGTTCTTGTTTGGAGGAAACGTCAAGGCCCAGAGATGAATGGTGGCCCAGGTCCTGGCTATCAGGGGCCACTTCCTCTGTACTGTGTCCCAGACTCCTAGAGATTCGTCCCGCTCTCAGACATCTTCTCCAGCCATAGACCCTTACCTGTTAAACAAATGTTCTCGTTGAGTACAGCCTCCTTTCATAGGCCTGCTTAAATCAGATGGTATGTCCATTTCTTTGAGAGGGACACAGGCTGGCAGTGCCATTAAGAAGACTGTCGTCCGATCTTGCTGTTCGGGGCAGGAAGTCTCTAATTTTGTAATAACTTGCTTCCAAGTGTTTTTAATGTCTGTCATGTAGTCCTGAGAAACACTTTTTCCCCCTGACAGGAAGGATTAGGAGTGGTAGTTGGGATCGCACTCGATTCATAAAATCTGATTTCATCTGCAGTTCAGAGGTTGAGTGTGACAATAAGGAAATCGGGAGAGACCTGGGCAATGCTGGAAACTGCTTTAGTATGCGTACAGGGTGTTGGCATGTGGAGAACAGGCAGAAAGGAAGTCGTCAGGACACAAGATCAAGTGATAAACTTGCACTCACAGGGTCAGCAGGGGAGGTCAGTTTATGAGGCTATCCGGATGGGGTTTGGGGCACCCAGTAACCCAGCTCCCACCAGTTGTGGGAGTCTGGGGGCCCAGTTGGCCTCTGATTTTTTTTTTTTTTTGAGACTATTTATTTATTTGACAGAGATCGCAAGTAGGCAGAGAGGCAGGCAGAGAGAGAGAGAGAGAGAGAGAGGGAGAGGAGGAAGCAGGCTTCTGGCTGAGCAGAGAGCCCATCAGACTCGATCCCAGGACCCTGGGAACATGACCTGAGCCGAAGGCAGAGGCTTTAACCCACTGAGCCACCCAGGCTCCCCTGGCCTCTGATTTTAAGAGGAGCCAGAAATCCAGGGGTTTTTTGGTGAACTCTCCCGTGTTGTCAACCTTGGGAGCCACCTTTAAGATTTAAATGTGGTATAGACATGGGCCAAGCAAAACCCCTCTGGAGGCCCGATTCAGCCCAGAGGCTGCAAGAGGTAAAGCAGGCCTGGTGCCGTGACTCTGGTGACCCCATGTCTTCTCCACTGGCAGGAAGAGATGTCAGGAGAAAGTGTGGTGAGTTCAGCGGTGCCAGCAGCTGCTACCCGCACCACTTCCTTCAAGGGCACGAGCCCCAGCTCCAAGTACGTGAAGCTGAATGTGGGCGGGGCGCTCTACTACACCACCATGCAGACGCTGACCAAGCAGGACACCATGCTGAAAGCCATGTTCAGCGGGCGCATGGAAGTGCTCACGGACAGCGAAGGTAAGTCCACCGTCTGGGCTCTGGGGATGGGCTTGTGGCCCAGGGGCTTCATTCTGGTTCAGAAGGCCAGCGGCACAGGGGCAATTGTCCACACAGCTACAGATTTCCAGCTGTGCTCCGTGTTGTCTCAGAGTGCGGGGAGCCTTGGCAGTGAGTCCCCGGGAGACCAGATCTAGTCTGGGGGGTGTTGTAAAGGAGGGTTTCCCTGAGGAGGTCACAGATGAGCTGACATGTGAAGAGGAGTTGGAGTCACCTGGGTGGGGACTCGTAGTCCTGACCCAGTTGTCGACAGGCCATGTGACCTTGAGAAAGTCCAAGCCTCAGCTCTGAAATGGTGGCTGGGTGAGCTCTCCTGGTCGGTCCCTTGCCAGTTCTCAGCGGTGATTCTGTGACTTTGGAGTGGAGCTTGAGCGAGGGAGAGACGTGAATGTTTTCTTGGACCCTTGTCCTCCCGGGATGGGGACCTGACAGAGACTCAAGATCTGGACTGAGTCACTGCTGCTTGTGTAGTAGCTGGTGATGCCAGCCAGGTGACGTGGGTATAGTGATACCTGCCTCATGGGGCTGTTGGTGTGCGGTATTCCAAATACATACATTCAGTCCGTGTTTTTCTTTCCTTTTTCCTCAATGCAAGTCATGTTCGTGAAAGGTGAAGAATTCTTTAAAGTGATCTTGCTCCCCACCTGGAACAATCCAAGAGCACCTGGCAAGGGGAACAGTCTTGCCTGGCTGGGTTTACCGGGCAGGTCACGTGGGGTTTAAGGATGGCACCATCCTTTGCTTCTTTGGCCTGAGATTGCGCAAGATCTGGCCAGACCACAGCCTGGCTGGACCCTGCCTTACCTGTTTTTGAGGTCGGCTGCTGTGCTAATGCTCGAGCCTTCCCTGGGACATTGGTTCCTGGGAAGGTGGGCGAGTTTTGTTACAGTTGGTGGGATTGGGGACCCGAAGCTTGAGCTGTGCGCTAGTTATCGTGTTTCCCTTCGGGTCCTAGAGAAGGCTGGGCTGTGGGGCTTGAGGTTCTGCTTCCCTGGGCTTCCAGGGAAACTCAGGGTTCTGGCCAAGCATCAGGTACATGAGGTTGGAGCCCCAGAGCTTCCTTTCCTGTCTCACCCAGAGAGCACAGAGCTTTTTATGAGTGGGAGGATCCCCTTTGCAGAGCCACACCCAGTATCGCCCAGGGGAGTATTTGTAGAGACTGAGACAATAGCGCCCCAGCTGCAGAAGGAAACAGACCTTATCTGAGAACCCAGGATTGTTGTAGCTTTTCTTCCGCCCTCCCCAGTCTCTGGTGGGGCTCAGGAAAAGCGGCGGAGTCGCTGAGTTGGAGCTGAGTTGGAGCTAAGCTAAGTTGGAGCCTCATCTCCTTGCCGTCCTAACGCCACACTGGGAACAAGCTCAGGCTCATCCATCCCACAGGGGGAGAGACACAGGGGTGCTCCCCGGCCTCCTGCTTGGGCTTCTGAACAGCTGCTGGAGGCTACACTGGCCCCGGTGCTTCCTGGACACCATGGCCCCTCCGGGGGAAGCAGGGCTGCCTTTGGCACTCCGACCCCGGACATTTTCTTGAGGCTCCGCTAGAGCTCGAGCTCCGTCCAGCCCTCCGCCTGCCTCGAGATGCTCACCGTGTGACATCTCACTGTTTTTCACTCCTCAACTTCACCCTTCCCGGGTGGTACTGTTTGTTGCTACCTTTCAATAAATGAGAGATCCTTTTCGAAAGCTATGGGACTTAAAAAAAAAAAAAAAAAAAGAGCCACTGAGCTCAGGGCTTGCTGGCTCATAGTCTGGGCTGGCCTTGGTTCACGGAGGGCCCAGCCCTCGGGCCAGGTTGCCTGGGCGCAGCAGCCTCCTGGGTCATCGCCAGCTTTGTGTCTGGTCTTTGGCCCACCCTGAGCCAGGCAGCGCCATCCTGCTGGCCCTGGTGAGTACACCACTTGGCCTCACCGGTGGCCTGAGTGTTGGCCAAGGTATACCCTTGGGTCTACAGATTAACCTGAACGTCCCGCATCTCACAGCTGCACCCAGGGCTTTGGGTGGGAAGCCTGTTGGCTGCAGTGAGGTTTGCCACATGCAGGCCCAAGCAGCGAGTGCAACTCCGTGAGGCGAGTGGGTGCAGGAGCGTGTCCTGCTGGCTGAGGAATTGGGGGCGGGGGGGCTCCGAATTGGCATGGAACAGCGAGGTACTGAGCTGCTGGAAACCCCTGAAGGGTGCCCGAAGGGAGGACCTGGGCCCCAGGGTGGATGATGGACTCTCCCTTGTGCCCCGTGCCCTCCTGCCTGTTGGCGATTTGTACTGCGTGTGTTCGGTTCCTGAACGGGGCAGTTTGCAGTGAGTGGGTCTGGGCCCTGGTTCTGTCCCAGGCTTACAGTCACAGCTGCTGTGTATGTGGCACTGGCCTGATGTAGACTCATCTGGCATTTTCTGGCAATAGGACAGAGGGCGGGTGACTTTCTCTGAGCTTGTTTCCACTTTTCAAAGTTGTGAGGGGTAATGCTTTCCAGGGTTGTGACGGGACTAAGTGGGGACATGAACAGTGGAAGGCTCTTGGTGAAGCTCACGACAGTTGGGAGACTCGGTCTGTGGGGACTGCTCACACCTGCTGCGGCCTGCCTGGGTGGGGTGTGTCCAGGGGGAGGGATGGGTGCTGTGAGGGGCTGGAGAAGCAGGTCTTGGCAGTGCCCAGGGAAGAAGGGGCCTGCCTTGGCCTTGGGGGTGAGTGCTCTGCAGTTCTATCTTGCCCCCAAAGGGTGGCTTTCCAGACTCCTCCCCAGAGAGGCATGGCTCTTCCAGTGGTGGCATTTTTACCTGATGCCTTGTCACCGTGGGTGGATGTGGCACCTCTCCTAACAAGAGTTCTGCCTCTGTACTCGCCTGTGGTTGCCTGTTTCATAACCCTGTTCCTTTGTACAGAGCTTCCCTTCCCACTCTCCCCTCCACAGTGGTTTCTGGTCTTGCTAACGTTTCTGGAATGAGGGAGTATATGAATCAGATTAAAGAAGGGAATCATTAATCTTATTATCAGCATGCATTCCCCTGGAAACCAGTGGGGAAATCAGTTGTCGTATTGTGGGAAAACCATCATACCTGGTAGTTTCCCCGAGATCTCCATGCCTCCTGCTTAAATTAGAATGCACTCTTCCATAAAATTCTGAATACATTGAGAGCTTTCAAAATGTGATTAATAAAACAAAATCCCTCATGCCCCTGGCGTGAAATGTTGGGGCCGAGGAGCAAATGGTCAAGAAAGAATTCTTGAGGCATCTTTGGTGCAAAAAAGGTGTTTTTTATTAACGCGCATGGTCAGGGACAGGCCCCGTGAGCAGGAAGAGCTGCACTGAGGTCCTGAGGAATGGCTGGTTATAACTTTCAAGTGGGGAGGCGGTTAGGGGTAGCCTAAGTCTCAAAGGGATTTGGAAGTCAGGTTTCCAGGACCTTAGGGGCTAGCTGCTGTTCGGATAAGGTCATTTACTACTGTCTAGTAAACCCTTAGTCATGAGACCTTTAAGATGAATTTCCAGGGCATCTGGGTGGCTCAGTGGGTTGAGACTCTGCCTTCCGCTCAGGTTGTGATCTCAGGGTCCTGGGATCGAGCCTGATGGGCTCTCTGCTCAGCAGGGAGCCAGCTTCCTCCTCTCGCTCTCTGCCTGCCTCTCTGCATACTTGTGATTTCTAACTGTTAAATAAATAAATAAATAAATAAATAAATAAATAAATAAAATCTTTAAAAAAAGATGTATTTCAGTGGGCCTTATGTTTAGAGGATGATTGGCAACATGCATTTGGGGCGGGTAGACGTAAAGGAACTTTCCAAAGGGATTTTTGTGTGTTAAGACTTTCAGGATCCTAGAGATAGGCTAATCAGGCCTTTGCCCCCAGCAAAGTGTTAACATCGAGGCAGATGGGTACCGGGAGAAAGGTCACTATGCCTGTCTCAGGTCATCTTGTCAATGGACTGCAAGTTGTGAGGAGATTTAATTTTTTCTACATTTCTTTTGCCTTTGTTCTCCACAGCACCCCCACTCAGACAAGGAATAAAACATTACCTGGGTTAATGGGGTCTCTCTTCATCTTTTTCATTTGCCTCTCTCCCTTCCAGAGGTAACCACTTGCCTGACCTTGGGCTCAGGAGGTGAATTTCTACCTCTATAATACAGTGACTCAGCTGGGAGCTAAAGCCTCAGGCCTGGATTCTCCCCGCAAAAGCACCCCCTGCCATGCGCTGGGTGTTAGCACTTCGAGGAGCTCTGCAGGGGATTCTAATGTGCATCCAGTGGTGGAAATCACTGATGAGTATCTGTCCGGGAATTACTTTTGCTGCCTTGTTTCTGTCCCTAAACAATGTATTGTTGGTGTGTTTTCCCACATTATATCTATGGCGTTAACATTGTATGTAGCCTCTTTGCTTTCTTAGTGTTACGGTTGTTAGATCGAGCCGTGACTAATACATAGCTCTAGTTCAGACAGTCATGCTAGTGTTCCATTTGGGGAATGCACTGTAGTTTATGGATCCATATTTTGGTGAGAGTTGTTTCAGTTGCTTCCAGTGTTCACCATGTGGAATATCACCTTTCTTGAACACTCCCTGGCATGTGTGAGTGTCCCTGGGACAGAGCTTCCCAGCCTTTGCCGCATCATGGCACACCCAGAAAGTCTATTTCTGTTCTAGTAAATGAAGAGACTGTGGACCCAGCCACCTCAGGGGCTGCAGTGTTGAGGTCTTACCCACCACTGGGAGGTCTGTCCTGCAGTTGACTCCCAGGAGGGGAATCTGGGCTAGCATCCGTGGCTGGGTTGATAGTAGCTATTGTGCTGACTTAAGAATTCCCCACCGTCCCAGTTTGTGCCAACCCTAGGCACAGACCTCTTAATTATTGCCAGTATGCTGGTTATGATCTGATACTCAGGTTTTACTTAACATTTCCTAGTTTCTAGCTTCTTGAGCAGCTTTTTGTCATTTGTATTTTATCATTTAGCTGCCTGATTGCATCTTATATACACATTTTCCTTTTTTTTTTCTTACTGCTTTATGAAAGTATTCTGGATCCATTTGTTTGTGGTTTTGTACATATTTTCTCCCAGTCTGACTTGTTACAGCTTTTCTCATGGTGGGGTTTTTTTTGTTTGTTTGTTTTTGATGCTTCAAAGTTTTTTTCTTTTTTTTTTTTTTTTACATGTAGGTCTTTGATCTACCTCACTGGTGCTCAATAAGGAAAGATATTGACCTCCAGGGGACATTGGGCAATGTCCAGAGACCCTTCTGGTTGTCACAGTTTAGGGGTGGGAATGCTCCTGGCACCTAGTGGGTAGTGGCCAGGGATGCTGCTACATACCCCACAAGGCAGAGGACAGTCCCTCCATGACAAAAAATTATCCGGTCCAAAATGTCAGTAGTGCTGAGGCTGAGAGGCCCTGCCCCACAGCTTCCTGGAATCTGAATTTGTAACAAGCACCTCAGGTGACTTACGAACAGGCAAGTTTGGGAAGCACAGAGAGTATAAAAACCTTACAGTGCTAAGGAGAGGTCAGCGAAGTCTCCCATGCCCTGTGTCCCGTCTTACCCTCCCCCCACCAACACCATCCAGCCCCTGGAGGTGGGGGCAGGGAAAGGAGAAAGGAGAGAAGTTCATGGCATGCAGTTGGGGCTGGGAGGGGGCAAGCCTTGTCACCCAGTCCCCGGTCTTGAGAGAAGCCTTCTCCAGGATACCCTGAAAGCCACAGGGACTTTCATGAGGGCGGAATGAGCCTCCTCTGGACACTGCTGCCACTCTCTTCTCCAGGGATGATGAAGAGATGCGGGGAGGGCTCATTGTCCAAGACCACATTTAGCGATGCCATTGTGCTACATGTTTCCCTGTGCATTCTCTCATCGTACCTTTGTGCCAGCCCTGAGGGGGACCAGATTTAGGAGAGGAAGCTGGGGGACAGGGAGGTTTGGTGCGATACCCGTATCATCCAGCAAGTAGGTGTCCCAACTGGATTTCTAACACAGGCCCTTGCCCTTGGCCACTGGGCTGGGTTCTGTCTCCCAGATCATTCCACAGCCTCTGGATCTGTGCCTGCCTATTCTGCTCTGCAGCCTTGCTGGATGGGCCGCTGGCCGCCGGGCTGCCCTAGCGGGTGCAGCCTTCTGCAATAGCCATGCTCCCCGGCAGCTGGACAGACTCCCCACAAGTAAGGCACTGCTTGACTTCCATTTGCTTTTCTACACACTAGGCATTCAAGCTGTTTCAAAGGGGTAGATTCCGGCTTCGAAAGCAGCTAACGTATTTTAAAATCAGAATGCTAATTGAAACCTCATGGCGAGTACAGCCGGCTCCTTTGCCCTTATTTGTCCAAAGTATGATTCCTTCACCACAAGCATTTCCTGACGGCATTCTTGAGCTGGAGCCCAGTGTCACGGTCTGCCTGTTCGTTTATGGAAACTCTGGACTGTCACTTGAATAATTGATTTCAGGGGCCCCTGCTCGTTCAGAGCAGCTAAGTTGTCCATGCATCAAAGGCAGAAACGTGGACAGTTTCTTCTCAGAGCTGCTGAGTTAAGTGGGTTGCCATTTCTTTGAAGACTGAGGCTCTACTCAGTTCTGGTGGAAGGAGCTTTCCTGTGAGTTTCTTACTTGCTTGTGGTCTCGTCCTGTCTCCCTGACTTGGGAATGTCCCTAAACCTCTCTGAGACTCTGTTGTCATCTGTGGACAGTGCAGAGGACTTAGCCTCCTTCCAAAAGCACTGTTGGGAAGATACTGTGGTCCTTCCACACCTTGTCCGCTCGTTGGCAGGAAGTCACTTGATCCAGGGTTAGTGGAGAAGCCATAGAATGCTGGCCTGCAGGCCCCGTGCGACCTGCAGATAGTTTTTCCTTGCCTTAGAGCGCATTAATGACCTCTTGGTTTACCACTATTTAAAAATCAAGAGGTTTCACGGAGAAATCTACATTTCTAGCTTCCCCTGGAATATCAGAGGCACACGCAGCCCTAGGCCCACCTTCCTGCTTGGCTGTTCTTGGCTGGAGTAAAAAGAGCCTCTCCATCTCCTGTCTGGCAGGGCACATGCTGTCTGGTCATCCCCTGGGCCCAGGACCCGGTAGGCATCTGAGCTGTATGCACGTCCATACTTCAGTGGGATGAGGTTTAGCAGTCACTGTCATGGTGATGTGATTTACCACACCTGTGAAGGCCTCTTCCTTCCTTGAAACCAGGGTTTAACTCCGGGCCACACGATTGCATTGTGTTTGCCACACTGGGAATTGCTCTTCCCACTATAGTTAGGAAACCATAACCGCGGGGAAGTACCAAGCAAAAGCCTCTGGAGGGATAAGAGCAGACCTTTAACCAAAGGTCCAGGAGCCATGGGCTGAGGAGTTTATAGGACAGGAGTATGGAAAAGGCCTTCTTACAAAACTCTCCTAGGGATTGTTGTAAATGCCAAATAGATACAGAGCCTCTAACCCTGAGAGCATACTTGGCAGGGCTGGATTTGGGAAGGGGATGGTGGGTGGACTCGTGACTCTGGATATGAAAGGGGTATCTTTGCTGCTCTTGGCTTTTGTGTCTCAGCGAGGCCTGGGGGTCTGCAGAGGACTCGGGACAGGGTGCCATGGTATTAAGAGTGGAAGTGTGGGCCCCTTCTCCCAAACTGAGCAACAGTTACTGTTTAAACAGATTCCTGTTTAAACCTAACTGCCATGTGCCTTGGTGTCCTCTCACCTGTAATAGGGGATAAGAGACCTAGGGAAGCCCCTTGCAGGGCTTGCCCTGCTGGCCTGGGGGAGGCGGGACTTCTCTACAACCTGGCTTCTTTCTAGAGCCTTCTGTCCTCTGTCAAGGCAGGTCTTTGTTTCATCCCCTCATTTTGTCCCTCCACTTCCCAGGCTTAAGCATTTTTCTTTCTGCAAGAAACAACCCTTCCCACCCCCACCATGTATTTGCATTTCTGAAAAGGAATTGTGAAAACCTGGGCATCCCTAGTGGAGGTATAGCAGGCTAGTCCCCAGATTGGAGAGGTCATCAAGAAGCTGAAGGGCTTGTCTTCCTGGTCCCCACCCCCAGGAGTGTCTCATGGGGCTTGGTTCTGGTCAGCAGTTGGCACATTTTCCCATAATTAATGAAAACACGTTCCATCTCCTCATGCTAGACTGAACTGCCTGAGACAAGGTCTGTCTGGTTTACCGTCTTCTTTACAGTCGCTGTCACTAGCCAGTAAGTGCTTATTTGGGGGAGTTAAGGAAGGAACATCCCAAGGTGGTAGTGGTGAGTGTTGGGGATCCCCCCTGGGGGCCAGAGGTTACAGTCTCTCCTTCCTTAGAAATGGCTCTGTTATTTGAGAATCTGAAAAAAGCATCACAGAAAGAGGGAGAGTAGATATTTTTACCTACGGCTTTCCCCGCCATCGTCGAGGTGTGGTCATTTGGACCCATTTTATCCAGGTGTGGTGCACTCTTGGAATGGCTAAGAGATTTTTTTTTTTTTTTTTAAGATTTTATTTATTTATTTGACAGAGAGCACAAGCAGGCAGAGAGGGGGAAGCAGGCTCCTCGCTGAGCAGAGAGCCCGATGTGGGGCTCCATCCCAGGACCTGGGATCATGACCTGAGCCGAAGGCAGAGGCTTTAACCCACTGAGCCACCCAGGCACCCCTGGCTAAGGGATTTTTGAAGATATTTTAGACACATTCTCTGAGGCCCCAGCGGTCCTGGCATCCAAGAGAGCCTGAGACCAAGTGAGTCCGTGGCTGTGGTTGTCTCCAGGCAGCGGGCCCTGCAGATCATTCCAGTGCTTCCCAGACAGGTCAGCCTTTTGCTGATAGCGAGGCAGGTGGAGCTGCTGCCCTCTCCGTGGTCCTGCTCTTCCCTGGGTGGTGGAGAGAGCTCCAGAGACCCCATTTGTCTTCACCTCCCAGGAGACGAGTGCCCGTGTAACTAGGCCCCCCCTTTCTCCTCCTTCTACTGCAGGCTGGATCCTTATTGACCGGTGTGGGAAGCACTTTGGTACGATACTCAACTACCTTCGTGACGGGGCGGTCCCCTTGCCTGAGAGCCGTCGGGAGATTGAGGAGCTGCTGGCAGAAGCCAAGTACTACCTGGTCCAGGGCCTGGTGGAAGAATGCCAGGCAGCCTTACAAGTAGGTATCCCCCTTTTTCCCCACACGAGTGGGGAGGTGCCAGGCCCACCTGCTTTCCTCATTTTCCTTCTCCTTCCTCACTGAGATGTGAGAGTTCACAAATAACCCAAGAGCCAAGAGCTTCTCTCTCCTTTGGTCAGTGACTCCTTAGAGGCTTCTCTGTAATGCTTAGGCCACCTAACTACCCTCTGGCTTTTAGTTGCCGTGGCGTTGGCTCATCTCCCATGTACATTGAAACCCTTCGATATGGGGTATAAAACCTAATCCGTTTTCTGGATGCATCTCAGGACTTATTCTCATCCCATCAGTCCTTGTTTCGAGTCTTATGTAACCTTTACAGACTCAGACATCCCTCACTTCTCAGCAGGATCATTGGGATCAAGTCTGGTGATAGCAGAATCCCTATAAAAGTAAAGTGCTCCTGGACATAGCCCGCAGCCAACACCATTTATTTATAAAGCAAAGTTCCAACTTGGCCTGGACTCATAAGAGTCCCTTTTGGTCTTCATGGGAATTGAATCTGTATATGGGAGGCTCTTGTCTGTGCCTCCCTCAGGCCACGTTTGGCTGGCCTTCCACTGGAGCAGTACCTTTACTGCCTAGCTCCTTGAGGAACTGTTATTTCCACATACCACCTCTACCCTGAAAGTCTGAAGTCATTGTAAATCTGACTGTATGCTATAGCCTTTACTTTAGTATTTTTATTTCCTTTTTGTTTGTTGAAGTAATGTATGTACATCATACTTTTCTGCTCTGTTGTTCTTTTTTTGTTTGTTTAAGATTGTATTTGTTTATTTGGGGGGGCGGGTGAGGGCGAGGGAGACTCTGAAGCAGACTCCACGCTGAGTGCAAAGCCCGATGTGGGGCTCGATTTTACATCCCTGAGATCATGATCTGAGTTGAAACCAAGAGGTGGACACTTATCCAACTAAGCCATCCAGCCGTCCCTCCTCTGTCAATTCTTTCAACAGTTGTTTACTTTCATATTTCTTATACTCCTGTTTGTTGACATTTGAGTTTTCAACATTATGCTCTGGTGTATAGAAAATAAAAATTTAGCTCATGCAGTACCACCAGCCCAACCACTACCAAACATGTACACATGTTCTTTCTCTTCTTTTCCCAATATAGTGTTTACCACAGCTTTGGTTAAATCAGTATTCAGAGTTGACATCGTGATGTCTTCATATTGTTAGCAGTTGAGTCATGAAGTATACAGTGAAAATTTTCTTTATTGTGCAGCTTTTCAGTTTGCTAGAGTTAGTGATTGCCTCATTGTTTTGTATGCTTGGTTTTCTAAGTGCATAGCCCGAATTTATCCCTAAGTGGTCAGAAAGGGCAATCTCTTCCTGGTGTGTTCAGACACACCAGTGAGTCTTTGTTTCTTCTTTGTGTCAGAAACAAGCTCTCTTGGGTTCCCATTCTGTAGTTTCTGTTAGTTTAAGATCGAACGTCCAGGACTGACCTCCTCTCAGCTTCTGTTGCTTTTATCTTCCTGTTCTACTTTCTCAGAGGTTTTCTTTAGTTTTATCTTTTCAACCCTTCTTTTGAACTTTTCATTTCTGCTATCATATTTCTAATTTCCAAGCGCCTTTTCATGTTCTCTGAGTGTTCTTTTTTATATAGAACACTGCTCTTGTTTCATAGGATTCAGTATCTGCTCTCCTCTGTCTTGAAGTTTTCTTTCTGCTGCCCTTATCATGACTCATTCCACTTTCCTCTTTATTTTGGTTTCAGTCTCATGTTGAAAGGCTTTCCACATATAATCTGATAATCTTTGGTCTTTTAAAATTTCAGACTAAGGTTCTGAAAAGCTATATGTGTGTGGGTGAGCCTTGTTGTCCATTGGGCTTTAGTGGTAGATGATAAGTCAGTGGGAACCCCCAGTGTCAGAATCTGTAAGCCTTTTCCTTAGATCAGATTCCTGTGGAGGAATCCTCTACTCTCTTGCCTGGTAGGGATAAGCCTGACTGACTGCCTTTTGGGATCTGAATAGGAGAAGGGGGGTTGCTGGGCCCACCACCCCCCACCTCCCATTTATAGTGTGTGGACCATTCTCCAAATTCCCCTCTTTTCAGAAGAGCGGCTCAGCCCTGTCGTCAACTGTACAAACCACTCTAGGAAAGCAGACTTTCTTCTGCCAGGGGAAGGGGATTCATGTGGGAGGGTCAGCTCTCAGTGGTGTTTCTGCCGACTGGCTAGCAATCCTCTGCCCTTGCCCTCTGCCAGCCAGCCTTCAGAACTGTTCTTTGAAAACCTCCAGGATTCTTTCCCATCTTTGGACTTAAGTTGCAGCATTCTCTTTCCCCTCAGTTATCCGTCATCTTCCCAGTCTGAGATTTTTGACATCTTTGTCTGTAGACCTCTTTTCTCCCATTGTTTTTCTCCTTAAGGCCCAGACTTTTTAAGTTCTTCTATAGTTGTTACAGTGGGGTGCTTCAATCATATTTCATCTGCCATGTTTAGAGTTTATTTGTAAGTGACTCCCTCGGCTGGGGAAGTGTGTCATCGTTGTTAGGGTTTACTGATCGCCCCGGTCAAAGAACCTGACTCTTGGCCCTCCCTTCCCCGAAATCACTGGTGGTAAGAGTCCTCCTCTCTTTCCAGTGCTGGTGGCCCCATCTTCCTTCGCCAGAACTCTGTCTTTGCCTGGCAGGCCAGCTTAAATAACCCAATGCTGGGCAGGCCTCCTAGGCTGAAAGCATATTTTGTTCCAGCAGAACAAAGATACTTACGAGCCTTTCTGCAAAGTTCCTGTCATCACCTCATCCAAGGAAGAGCAGAAACTTATAGCGACTTCAAATAAGGTATGTTGGAGGCACCCCTGTGGCCTTTCTTTCACTACCCAAATGATGAATAAGGTTTGAAATAGAAACCTGTCAAAGTGCCTGAGCAAGGCCTGAGCAGGGATAAAGAATGGAACCGCAGTTCATCTTGTGTTGACCTCCCGCCCCCAGCCGCAGGTCCCGCAGTCTCCCTCTGCACCCCCACCCGCCCCCTCCCACAGTCTGCCAGCTATGCCCGGCCGCCCCCTTGACGTGGTGGGAGGGCCCAGCCCCGTGGGAAGCCCACAGCACCTCCACCCCAAGTGACTCTTCCCTTTCTTTTTCATAACCACGCTCAGCCAGCCGTGAAGCTGCTCTACAACCGAAGTAACAACAAATACTCGTACACCAGGTAAGGTGGCAGCGGGACGGGCCACCGCATTTGCTAGGAGAGCCTTGCTCACATGGGCCAGGCCTGGTCCCCCTGTTCTTCTGCAGGGAGGATGGCCCTCCCCTGCTCAAGGATGCCCAGGGACACAGGTGATAGATATGAGATTGAATTCACACTACCACGAAGGGTGCCCTTTTAAAGTATACAATTCAGCGGGTTTTAGTGTATTTACAGAGTTGTTTAGCCGTTACCACGTGCCTGCTTGGTGAGCATTTTCATCCCCTCCAAAGAAACCCATCAGCAGTCACTCTTCGTTCCCCTCCAGCGCCTGCCCCCTTGCCCCCGACTGGCTTCCTTCACTTAGCATCATGTTGTCAGGGTTCATCCTCGTTGGGGTGTGTGTGTTAATACCTCGTCCCCTTTTAGGGCTGAGTCAGACCCCAGCGTGTGGCTCTTCTCTGCATTTGTTGATCCGTTTGTCAGTGGAGGCACAGTCAGGGTTTCCACCTCAGGGCCATTGCGGATACTGCTATGAACATCCGTATGCACATTTATTTACAGTAAAAATGAAGGTTTTTATTTCTCTTGGGGGTACTTAGGAGTGGAATTGCTGGGTGCATTGGTAACTAGGTTTAGTCATTAGACCTGCCCAGCTGTTTGCCCAAAGCAGCTACACCATTTTACATTCCCACCAGCAATATATACAGGTTTCTAGAATGTTTTCTGGCTCTCAGGACCATGTGGTTTCAGCTGTAGGGGGTTTAATGAGGCTCCTCAAGACCCAAGAACGACCCAAGATGAAAAGTCTCCCTTGGGCATTTGCATTCTCTTAGTCCTGGGGCTCGCAGGGCTCCCTCCATGCTCTCACTCGGTGCCTGTGCCCACAGGCCCCGAGTCGCTCCCAGTTCTTCCCTGGCCACAGCACGGTGGCCGTCCCAGCCTGGGGTGTGGAGACACTCACCCGCAGTCAGGACCAGCCGGCGCTCACCTTCTCAAATGCTCTTTTGCAGCAATTCTGACGACAATATGTTGAAAAACATTGAGCTCTTTGATAAGCTCTCTCTGCGCTTTAATGGAAGGGTCCTGTTCATAAAGGATGTCATTGGGGACGAAATCTGCTGCTGGTCCTTTTACGGGCAGGGCCGCAAGATTGCTGAGGTCTGCTGTACCTCCATCGTCTATGCCACCGAAAAGAAGCAGACCAAGGTAAGAGCTCTGAGGGTGCGGCTCCGGGCGGCCGGCCTGCAGTGCGCACTGGAACTGTTCCCCTTTCCCCTGGAGCAAAACAAACGACAAGACGGACAGGCTTTAGAAATGCTTTCCTTAGGGGTGCCTGGGTGGCTCTGTGGGTTAAAGCCTCTGCCTTCAGTTCAGGTCATGATCCCAGCGTCCTGGGATCGAGCCCCGTATTGGGCTCTCTGCTCAGCGGGGAGCCTACTCCCCCCCCCCCCCCCCCGCCCTCTCCCTGCTTGTGATCTCTCTAATAAAAAAAAAATTTTTAAAAAAAAAAAATGCTTTCCTTGACACGTGATTGCTCACTGTGAAAATACTCATCATCTTTGGGACCCTGGAGACAGTCACGTGTAGGTCTCGGAGAAACAAAATGGCATTTTCCTTTTTGACTGTTACCAAACAGGGATAGTCGTACTGCATGCACCTCACTGTCTTTGCCGTAAATGCTGATTCAGAGCAGTGCCTGGCTGGCTCTGTTAGTGGAGTGTGCCAACTCCTGACCTCTGGGTTGCGAGTTCTAGTCCCATGGTGGGTGTAGAGGTAACTTAAAAATAAAACCTTAAAGGAAAAAAAATCGGGGCGCCTGGGTGGCTCAGTTGTTAAGCGTCTGCCTTTGGCTTAGGTCATGATCCCAGGGTCCTGGGATTGAGCCCTGCTTCGGGCTCCCTGCTCTGTGAGAAGCCTGCTTCTCCCTCTTCCACTCCCCCTGCTTCTGTTCCCTCTCTGGCTGTGTCTCTGTCAAATAAATAAGTAAAATTTAAAAAAAAAAATGTGGATTCAGATGTATCCTCATACCACTGTCACCATGCCACCAGCATTATCTCCTGTCAGTGATGGGACACAGCCTGTGCTGTTCATCACCCTCCACATATCACCATTTCCCACCAGGATGGTGCCATCCCATTTCAGTCATCAGAGGAATCATGCTGCCTTTAAGAGCTTGACCTTGGCTTTCTAGTCATGACCTACAGTTTAACTGTCATCTCTCTGCCCTCCTCTGACCCACTGACCTAGAGTGGTCCTCCACCCTCAAGGGCCTGCTGGGCATTCCTTAGCTCGCAGGCTTGTTGACTTCCTTCTGAGCATACGACTTCTTGACAGATCTGGACTCTGGATGTACTTCTGTATCATCTTCTTCAAACCAACAGGCTTGACCTCTGTCACTGTGCCATTCTGCGAAGCTAGATCATACCCCAAGGTGCTGTTGGAGATCTGATCCACTCTTAATTGAACTTCACTCCCTTCAGGTCTTCTGCTGGCTTGACCCTTAAGAGGGTCAATGTAACTGGGTTTTCTTCAAAAAAATCCTGTGATACACTGTCACTTCCTCTGAACCTTACTGAGGGAACTCTGATGACCTGGGACACGTGGAGGGTCTGCTGGGTGGGTTTTCACGCATAGATCTGTAGACCACCGGACAGCCTTCCATCATCCCTGTGGCTCCAGGAGCACACAGTTGTCTGGGATTCTAGAACTGGCCTCAGAACAAAAGGCAAATGAGCAAAAATGAGACCACAAAGTAGAAACCAGAGTCCTGAGCATTTTTTTAAGAAGACTTTTAAAACATTTTATCATTGGTATTTAGAATATATTCCAAAAGGTATATATTGTTTTGAGAGCCAAGAAGGGAAAAACCGTAAGGTTTCTTCTTTCAGAGATCACAGAGAGACCAGAATCGCTTGCTTCCCTTTACCACATTAGCAAGATGCACATCTCTGTTCTGTGAACTTTTGGGGGGCTGCAAATTCCACCTGTAACTAGCTTCCCCGTCTTGTCAGTTTGGTTTTATATACATGGGTTGCCTTTGTCCTTGGATATTAACAGGATAATCGTCTAAATGATTAAACTTTAAAATACTGGCTTTACATTTTCAAGTTTAACTGGGAGCAAAGGATTCAGAGACCACGAAGTCTGATCCCAACCATTTGTAGATGAGCCCCCCAGGTTCCAGAGCAAGCCTGTGCTTGTGTTTTTGAAACTGGTGAGAGGCAGGGCCCAAGGTGTCAGGCCAGGGCCACTAGCCATGGCTCCCTTTGCTCTGGGCTTCTTCTTGCTCTGGGGGAAGCATGTGACTGGCTTTCCAAGGGGGTGCATGTCAGGGGATGGCTGCCTCACTGGAGCAGGTGGCTTCTTCTGGCTCACAGGAGCCAACACCTGTGTTCTGTTGTCTCAGGTAACTGGGCAGATATTCCTGTTGGGGTTTTTTTGTATCGCTGTCTTGCTACAGCATTCCAGGTGCTCTGCTAATTCTTTTAATCATTTAACTCTCCTGTCAGTTAAGCTGGATAGGTTATGGCTTTCCGAAACTAAGGCTTAAGTAGAGACGTAATACACATGTTGTCTATTTGGTCCTTGATTCTGACTCACCAGGGACTCAGTGATTATAGAACCACGGCCTTTACTGGTCTGTTTTTCTGTTTCTCTTCGGATTGTAACACTTCTTCAGGTCCCCGGACTCGCCTGTCATCTCCACAGTGCTGTTGAACCCTGCCAGTGAATTGGGTTTTTTTGTTTTTTTGTTGCTCTTGGTTACTGTTTTTCAGCTGGACAGTTTTCATTTCTTTCTTCAATGTTATGTCTCCTTGCTGAGACTTCCTGTGTTTGCATTTGCTTTAAAAAAGTTGGCCCTTCCTTATCATGACTTTTTTTTAAAATAGCTGCTTTCAAGTCTCTGTTCGATGATTCCAACATCTCGTATCATCTTGAACTTGGCATCAGTATCTGCTGATTATGTTTTCCCTCAGGAGTTGAGATTTTTCTGGTTTTTTATTATGTCAGGAACTTTGGAATTCTATCCTGGATATTCCGAATGTAACAGGGCTCTAGGACCTGTTTAAATCCTAATGAGGACGTTGGTTTTTTTGTTTTGTTTTGTTGTAGCATGCAGCTGGCCTAGCTGGGTTCAGGCCACAAGTTCCAACCAGCCATGGGTCACAGTGCCAGTGACAGTGCCAGTGACAGCCCAGGTTTCAAAGCCTTGACATCGGGGCCGCACTGAGGGCGGGTCTGTGTCCGGGGCAGCACTCTATCTCATGGCTCAGTTCTGCGTGGCTTGGTGAGGGACAGGTTGGCAGCTGAGCTCAAGGCTAGGAGTTTACGTACAACCTCAAGAAGCTGCTGTTCCAAAGCACCCATCCTTTGCCGTCTTTTGGTGCTTCCTGCTTCCCTGGGACTCCCCTTTTCAGTTATCTGGCCAGAAAGCAGGCTTTAGGTCCCCGATCTGCCACGCACTACCTGTGGCTTGACCTGTGCCTGAGCCCAGTGGCGTGAAGAAGGGAGACAAAAACATAAGGGATCCGCTCTACCCTGATGAGACCACAGCTGTCCTCATCAGAAAGGAAGGTTCCCCTTCAGAATTTTGACTCCACCGGGCTCTGGCCGTTGCTGCCACAAGATTTTGGGGGAGCGGGTGTGCAAGAGAATAGAGAAAAGAAAAAAGAGGAAACCCGGGAACACTCTCTAGGTGTTGGGAGACTCCAGTGCCCCCCTGGAGCTCTCTGTGCTGATGCTCATTCTGGGGTTGCAGGCTGCACTGACCTCCCTCTGGGCAGTAAACTCTTTGCTGGGTCGGTGTTATTCCAAACCCTGGTCTTTCCCCCATCCTGTCTACCACGATTTACGACTCTTAGTCCTTAGCCGCTGCACACTCGCTGTCCTGGTTTTGTGGCCTCTGGGAAGGACAGAGGAGAGCGTGCTGCCTCCATTTCTCTGGGAACCTCAGAATCCTGCCCTTGAAAGCAAAGTCTCTACTCTGTGAGTCAGGTGCCCAGGGCCTACTTGGGCAGCCTTCCTCCAGTTCCCAGTGCCTTGACCCTAAAGGGCAGGCGGCAGACACAGAGCTTTACTAAGCAAGAGGTGTCATGTTCTTTTCAGCTGGTCCCTGTTCAAAAAAATGGGTGTGGAGCAGCTCCAAGGGTGCAGATCTATCGTTATTAGAAACCTGTTGAAAATGACCTAATTGGTTAATTGCATTGTTACATTGTTGGGGAAAGCCTTCCATAGAAGGGAAAACCAAGTTAGGGGAAAGCAAAAGGTGAGAGGAGTGTGTGATGGGCCACCTTTTGTGCATTTTAAAGTGTGGGAATATGGGGCGCCTGGATGGCTCAGTGTCTGCCTTCTGCTCAGGTCATGATGTCAGGGTCCTGGGATCCAGCCCTGCATCAGGCTCTCTGCTCAGCAGGGAGCCTGCTTCCGCCTCTCTGCCTACTTGTGATCTCTCTCGCTCTGTCAAATATTTTTTAAAATATTTTATTTATTTGACAGAGCGAGAGAGATCACAAGTAGGCAGAGAGACCGGTGGGGGGGGGGGAAGCAGGTTCCCTGCTGAGCAGAGAGCCCGATGTGGGGCTTGATCCCAGGACCCTGACATTATGACCTGAGCTGAAGGCAGACTCTTAACCCACTGAGCCACCCAGGCACCCCAATAAATAAAATCTTAAAAAAAAGCGTGGGAATATAGAGGTGTATGATCCTATATTTACATGCACTGTATCCTTTTTGTTACCTGTGTAAGCACCATGCGTAAGGACTGTCTGTCGAAAATAAAAGCTGCCGTAAAACTAGTAACAGTGGTCTCAGAAGGAATCCCAGGGCCTGAGCTGGCGGCTCTGCTGGAAGTAGCAGGTGGCAGTGGAGGCGGTGGGGAGTGTGTGGTGCTAACGACCCTGACTTGCGTGTTGTGGGAATGCAGGTGGAGTTCCCAGAGGCCCGGATTTATGAGGAGACCCTCAATATTCTGTTGTACGAGGCCCAGGACGGCCGAGGACCTGACAATGCGCTCCTGGAGGCCACCGGCGGGGCAGCGGGTCGCTCGCATCACCTGGATGAGGACGAGGAGCGGGAGCGGGAGCGGATCGAGCGCGTGCGGCGGATCCACATCAAGCGCCCAGACGACCGGGCCCACCTGCACCAGTGAGCCGGCCGATCTCGGCCGCCCCCGCCGCCTCCCTCCCCTCCTCCCTCCCTCCGCTCTTCACTCCGATTCCTGCGGCCTCCTGGGCACCGTCCAGGCCCCTGCAGTCCGGAGATCCGTTTCTGTAACAAGCCAGATGATTATTTTGATACTTCTCAACTGGGTGGCTGTCTTTCCCCAGGTGAATGCACCCCTGTTCTCGAGCAAGCTGTGTCCAAGGTCTCCCCCTTTCATGGGCGTCGGAGAATCCTTGGAGCCAGGCGCTCTCGGCTCTCGGAGAAAAGTATGAGTGGGTATGAAGTGGACGTGAGCAGTTTTGTTTGCAGTATTTATTTGGTGGGTGCTGATTCCCTGTTTGGGCTTTGGGGTGGCATTCCATCGGGGCTCAGTCTGGCCGCTCTGAGAGGGACCTTGCAGTTGGTGGCCTCCACAGGTTTCCCTGAGCTCCCTTTTCAGAACCCTCTGGGCCGGTGTGCTGGCTGCATTCCCCTGCGTTAGACCGGGCTGTCTCCGGGTCTCTGCTAGAAGTCTGTTCTGACCCTGGGTTTTGCCCCTGTGGTACCGGCAGATGATTGCAGTTTGTGGCGAAGATAGGACCGATGGGCTTCGTGCCTCTGACTGTTCGAGTGTAGCTCTCAGTTCCCAGCCCTGTTGGAGGGGCGGGCCTGTCAGGACCCCACACACCTGGCTAAGGGCAGAGCTGGCCCCGGCAGGGAGTGCACGGCTCTGTTCCTGGCTCCTTTCCCACCTCCTGCCCCTTCCACTTGTCCCCTTTGTTGACCAACTCCGTCCTTGAGGGCCACATGGCCTGGTTGTGGACGGAGCTCACATACATCCTGGGCTCATCAGCCTTCTTCCCTGTTAAGCTGGGCTTCCTGTCACAAGTAGAAGTCCTGCCCTTTGCTTAGAAAGGGGACATGGCCAGGCCTCTGTCCGCCGACCTGGCATCCAGGCAGGGAGCCCATTCACACCAGCAGTCTCGGGGCAGCTCGCCTGCTGTACGTAGCCCTCCCCCGGAGATCCCCTCTGTGTCTTTGCCTCTGAGTTTTACATGGTGTGGAGTGGCCACAGCGAGAGAGTTGGAGGATGTGCAGCTCCTTTGGGGTCCAGTTAAGTGTTTATGTTCGTGTTTAAGGGACGTGTGCGACTGTAGATGGGAATGTGTTTGTGTGGAGTGCAGGGGGCCCGCGCTGGAGCCCGGCTGTCTGCATGGTGCTTATGGAGGACGGATGTTCTCGGTTACCTACCTCCCAGCCTCCGCGCCTGTGAAGGGACAGAAGCGAGTGGTGACTGATGTGGCTGGTCACGACTAGACTAGGTAGACTAGTTGCAAGGAGATGTGAACGTGTGTTAGGTGATGGATGGGATTTGTCTGCTCTTCAAGGGAAATGTTATTGTTTTATACCAAAGGTATTAACATGGGCAGCCTTCGACACAGTGTATTCCAAAAAACGAGTTTCTATTTTGAAATGGTTTTTACAGCTTAGGCTTTGTACATACTGCCCTTATTGGGACAGTGGTATGCCTTTATTTTGTATCGAGCAACAAAGTCTCCAATAAAACTTTAAAACAATCTTGACTGAACCTAAAAAATCATGTATGGGGGTCGAGGCCTTTTAAACTGTTGTGTGGGGAACTTTCTATTAGGCCATTAGGGTTTTATTAAGTGCTGGGGGGTGGGGCTTAAATACTGTTTCGTAAATATTTTATATACTGTTTGAGTTTTAAACACCAACCCTGACGTTTGGGTTGAACTTTTTTAGAAAGTTGAAGTGAATGTCAGTTGTGATGTTTTCTGTAGGAATGGAAAGCCATCATACGAATTTTTTAACTCTTTCTGTGAGGAGTAAGTTTGTGGAACAATCGGATGCGTTTGGGCTTCTACACCGTTTGAGCTAATGTTTCTGGCAGTCTTTACGCTTGTCCTTAACTTTGTACTTGTAATTTTGAGTGTTTGCTTTCCTGGGATCGGAACAGGTTCCTGAAACATTCCGCGGTGTATGAGAACACCGTTAGCTTGCATAGCCAGGAGCTGACAGCGAGTGTTGGCTGGTCCAAGCTCTGTTAGCAAATGGATTCCACGAGGAACTGATTTTTATGCTAGCGTGTGGGGCAAACAAAGGCCCATATTTATACTTAAGAACCATCTAAGTAAAACACTGACATGAGATTTGGTAAAGAGTTAAGTTTTATTACACTGTAAGAGTTTACATACAGTTGAACAGCTTTTTCAAAGGCGGCCTTGTTTGTGGTGACTGGGGGGCTGTGCCCAAGACAATCCTGGAGTAGCCTCTTCTGTTGCCCCCCACGCTGAACCCCCACAGTAGGTAGCAGATGAGCAGCCCGGCCGAGATGCAGGGACCCCACACTCTGGGTAGGTGGGCTCCCCGCCCCCTCACCTCCAGCAGCTGCTCGGGACCCACGTGGCAGCAGCTCAGCCCTCCTCGGCAGCTGGGCTCCTCCCAGCGTGACGGTAGCACGCCTCTGTGTCACTGACTTTCCTTTTTGTGCCATAAAAAATGCTATAAACGTTAGAAGTAGTCACTGTATGTTGTACAAGCATTTGTGGACATGTAAAATAAAAGTTACATAATGCTTCTGTTTAAATGTTTTCTGGGTCTTTTCAGAAACACCCAGCACAATCTGGCAGTATGGTGGGGTTCACAGCAAAGAGGGCAAGGCCTCTGTCCTCCATTCATTCTGCTTTATCGCCTGAAGTCGCCAGGGAGAGCCCAGCAGGGGTCATTGTTCTGTTCGCTGAGACCCTGCTGGAAGTCTTAGGTGGAAAGCAGAGTCAGTCTGCTGGGGTTGCTGCCGCGTTAACACGAGGGAGGGGGGCCGGGACAGGGGAGACAGAAACACACTTAAGGCCGTGACATTTCTGCTACGGCTCCCCATCTGGAACCCAAAGCACCTAAGTTCCATTTAGTTAGAGCAAAATTCAAAACACGCAGCTTTATCAAATTACAAGGACTCTCTCTCAGACCATGTGTGTGTATATATACTCCTCTATGGTCCCTCAGGGGCAGCTTGACAAAGGTAGAGGATCTGCTGCACCTTATAATGACACTTTCAAGTGCCCATCGAGGGAAGGACCTGGTAGGGACACAGCAACCCATCCCTGCAGGTGACCTGAGATTGGGCCACTGAGGAGCACCTTTCCCTTTAGTGCCCCAGGGCTGCTGAGAACTGGGAGACGGATGGATGCCACTCAGTTCCTTCAGAGCTGCTCCTCTGCCTGGAACCTTGGGCCCTGTTTCCTTGAAGGTGTAGCTCCCTGGACAGCCTCCTGCTTCCTGGGTGCTTTCCTCAGCCGGAGCAGAGATGGTCCCGGGAGTGGTCAGGAGGACTTGGCGTGGACCGACACCTCGGGAGAGCACCCACAGTTAGGTTAGAGACCCTTCACGCCCCGGCGGTGGGCAGCAGCCCCGCCTACCGCTGAGACAGGGCATTTAGAAAAGGACTCACTGAGGCCGCTTAGCAGTTTCAGCCCCAGCCAGTTAGGCGCTGAGCTGGGTGATGCCCAAGGCCAAGTTCCTTAAAGGTCACACCCCTAAGACTGCACGTGAGCTGAAAAGGCTGAAATGATACGTCAAAGATTTTAACTTCTCCCTGAAGGAGCTCAGGGGCAGCTATTTTAGGAAAGCCTTTTGGGTACCACTTCCCCCCCCAAAGACGGTTTCAGAGTTGCGGGGATGCAAATATAAGTATGTACGAGACACCCCAGATGTTGACAGACTTGGCTCATACATTTGTATCAGATGAGAATACAACGTGCACCTACAAAATACCTCTCAAAGATTCAGCCCCCTCAGGTTTTAATCTCATTTCCTAGCAAGATGATACCACGCTAAGCCCTGTGTACCTCTTGCCAGTGAAGGCTATGGGGATGCCCAGCTTAGCACACCCTGAGACTGATGGGGAAGACTAAGCGCTGAGCACCCGGCCTGGACTTCCCCAGACAGCAGTCAGCTCTGCTTTTCAGACCCAACATGGCTCCCGTGGCAAAGAGCAGGCCACAGTCCGCACCAGTCCCATCACAGCGTCCAGGGCTGAGACTCTGGCATGGGTGTTTCTAGAAGCTGGCCAGGAGAGTCCAAGGCGGGAGACACCACAAAGCCTCAGCCTTCGCCCTCCAGTGAAAAGTTGCCTTCGACGTGTAAAACTGAGAACCACTTAACATCACCATCCTGTTCACTAACGGCTAGAAATGGGAGGTAAGCTTGCTTTCTTCAAACCCTTTCCTTCCCTGTGTGAATGTGTGCCTCAGGCATCAGTACCACCTGTTGTTTTGATGTAGAATCGGGAATAGAGGGAGACATGAAAAGTCAAGAGGAGGGCTGAAAATGGCCACATTTTAATCTGCGTTCTCAGGTAAAACTCACCTCCCGCCACAGCCACTCACCACGGTTAACTGGCCATTTTGATCTTTATAGATTTGTTCTTCCGGCCCTGTATCAAAAACGATTGTGCCTTTTTTTCCAGGGCTGATATAAAACTGTAAACTGAAAACACACCAAGTAATCAATCACTGCATTCAGGAAATTCACTTAGGGGGGCTTCGAGATCAAATTCCCGTTTGTATTATTACAGAGTTTTACTGCATATTTGAGTCCTCAAAAGACAACCATTGCCACAACCAGGAAACCTACCCCTTGTTTCTGTGCCTATTTCCAGATCAACTTAGCATGTTTAGTTCTTCAGGGGGCCCGTCACAGGATGGCCAGGGCTCCCGTCAGGGAAGTGCTCCCCACTCTGTCTCCCTCTTGCACAGAGGAATTTGCCCATCAGCCTTCTGGGGCTTGAGACCCACTAAGAGCAGCAGCATTGGGGGGCGGAGGGGTGCAGGCTGCCTGTAGGAGATCTGGGAGTCTCCGGGATTCAGCCTCAGGGACCCCCACACTGTCCCTGACCAGCCAGCTGACATGGGCCTGCTGCTTAACCACCTTGTGCCCGTGTAACAGAAAACATGGTGGTGCCTTCAGACTTGAGAAAGACTCCGGTAAGAGCACCCTCTGTGCCA